GTCAGTCAGTGTGTCTGTATTAACCCCTCTCTCTCTCGTGTATCCCTGCAGAAGAAGATCATGATCATTATCTGCTGTGTGGTCCTAGGAGTGGTGCTGGCCTCAAGTATTGGAGGAACGCTGGGATTTTAGCGGGATGCAAAAAACAGCAAGAAAACCACAAGAAACAGATAAGGGGACTCTAAAATGGGGGGAGGGGGGGGGAACAGATTATGGAAAATGATGAGAAAAACAATAAGAGAAAATAAGTTAAAAAATTCTAATAAACGTAATACTTACAATGTACATGTAAATGTATTGAACATACAACAGCACATAATACAGCTACCTGTAAAGAAATACAAAGTAATTGTTTCTTTCACTTGGGAAGTGACGGCTAAATCTCAGTTCGTTTCCGAGCGTTAGGGTCCTGGTTCAGACAGCGATGTGTTCAGCTCCAGAAACGAGTCTTTCACATCTCGTCCTCCGCTGTGCTTTTGATTCGGCGCAGTAGGCTGGGGCAACGCGATCCGTTATTCCCTCATGCCCGGCCTGAGTCAAGACAGGCCTCACGCAGCAGGCCTGGATTGGTACGTACGCAGCACAACACCAAGCACAAAACCGAGCAGGCACTAACACAGCAGCACTCTGGGTCATGCAGAGGGCTGGGGCCTCAACTCGGGAAATCTGAAGTGGTGTAAGAGAGCAGAACTCTCACAATCTGTTATTTAAGTGGAGGGCGTGCTCTTTTCAGGACTCTTTTTTAAATTAATTGCTCCCTAATCTGGCAAAGTACACAAAGACGGAGGCTGGTCCATGATTCCAAAACAGTAATACTTGGCATTTGTGCTTGGCCAGGAACTGCACACTTTAATCTTCCATTCGCAATATTTGTGACCACCCCCAGCCAGACACAGGAATGATTGACCCATTTCTTTGGGGGGGGGATAGACTAGGGGGGTGGATCTGTAAAAATTGAACAAACTACGTGTCTTCGATGTACTTGTACTACCAGTCCCGCCAGATCCGTTGAGATATTTCTTTTTGTCCGTCTTGTCCGCCGGCAAGAGGGAAACCAGATCTAAGAAGGGAAAACTGTAGTTCACAGTTGGCGTGACTGCGGGCCTTTCCGGGCCCGAGCCAAGCCCTTGAGAGACGGGAGGAGGAGACACTGAGGTTTGGCCGTGACTCCTCTTCTGTCGACTCAGAACCAGAGCTGTGGGCGCGCCCGTTTCTTTCCGACTTCCGGAGAAAGTGCATTTTCGTTTTCAATGTAGATGGTATATTGTAGTCTGTGACGTGACCAGTGGCTTCTATCTTTCCTCAGTTCGCCCAGAATTCCGTTGGGGTCGAGTTTTTTGTTGTCGTTTTCTCTTTTCTTTTTTAAATTTTTTCCGTTGTCGTTTTTTTGGAAACAAAGGACTTTAAATAATAATAATAAGAATAATAAGAATAATAAGAATAATTATTTATCATCTTTTCCTTTTTAAAAAATACTGTAAATCAAAAAAGTGCAGCAAATGGAAGATGAAACAAAGAATACTTTTGCAGTGGCTGAAGAGATGTGTAAGGATATGAATAATGGTATGATTATAATATAAATATATATAAGAATACGTATATGGGTTTTAAACAGAAAGACTTTTAGGCTTCCTAATGTGATTCAATGTGTCTTGAATTAGTTTGTTTCCCACCCTCAAATAGTAGTATTTGCTCGCACATATATGTGTGTGTGTGTCAAAGTGGTGTTGAGAGTTTATGTACATAGGCATTTCCTAACAACTTTCACCTGGCTTGTCGTGTCATCAAACAGGGCTAAAACTACACTCCCCATCCTTTGCATTGTTTTGAAAAAGAAGTCTCCCCATCATCCCCTGCATTCTGTTTTAAAGTAGAAGTCTCCACATCATCCCCTCCCTCCCACCCCCGAGAATAAATGTGACCTTCACATGCTCGACAGATCGGTTTAATCTCCCGGTCTTGTACAACAGCATGCTCCAAAGTTGTCACTCACTGTACAATTACAGCAAGTTGCAAAGTGGGAAAGTGTGGCGGACCAGCTTTGCTCTGAGTTCCAAGTGGAGGTCGGAAGGTGGATCAAGTCACTGAATGGATTGGGGAATGTGAGGATGTTGACGGTGCTCGGTGAGGGAAGGCACCCCTGAGTCTTTCTGCCTTTGACACTGTGGAGTCTCTGTCTCATCAGTGCTTTCAATAGCTTAATTCAATCCTGTGATGCGAAAAAAGAGCCATTCAGCCGTTGAGGAAGAGCTGGAATGAAGATGAGTGGTAGCATAGCAGGGAAGAGCCGAGTCTGCGACTGCCTGGGTAGTCCAGGGTCAGACACAGGGCACAGGAGAGGGCGTCTATACCCTCGCCCGAGAGTTTGGTAAAAGAGGGTCGCTATCCTCTAAAATGCCCGTTTTAATCAAGCAGGGAACGACTTTGAGTGCAACACTTACTTTTTGCTTCACGTGTATTCAGTCTGGGCACTGTGAAAGGTTCATTTCTCACACCGCATGAGAAAAGTAGGAGAAGACATGATGTAATCTGAAATCTAACCTGCTTCTCCACTGAAGCAGGTTAGGGTCAGTGGAGAAGGGCAGGGGCTTTCATGGTTTTACGGAAACTTCTCTTTTACTTGGCGTGTTCTTTCAGGGCTGCGCGGGTCTTGAGCCTCTTTTTGATCTTCGAAGCCGACACAACGTCTTAATAGAGATCGTGACATAAAGGCAAGGGGTCCCCGCCTGTGTTTACCCAGCTCCTCCTTCGCAGACGTAAAGACTTGTCTTCCAATTCTGACCAAACATGCCTTGCAGCTATTTCTGACCTGCTGTCCAAGTGACTGTGACTGTGGAGAAGGAATGAAGGGTTCTGGACTCTATTCTTATACCAGATGGTTGTTTTGGATTGGGGTCCCAGTGTTGTGTCTTTCACCTCGGTTGCTCCAGCCGTCTAATATAATACGAGGTGTTTTCTGTAGAGCGTGGTGTCAGCAGTGGGATTTGATCCCCTCTTTATCTGGCAGTTCTCCAGGGCCTGAGCTGATGCGAGATGCAGATGTATCCTCTTTCAATAACCTTAGCTACTTAGTAAAGCTGCAGCTGCCCTGTGTGCGTGCTTAGACATGTGAAAGCCTGTTCCAGTGGGCCAAGGCCAACAGGTGCCTGTGTCCAACTACAATATGAATCGATTTGCTTTTTCCATCTCGTGTAAAAGTAGGTTGCAGCCTTGATTGGTACCCCTGAAGCACCAGGAAGTTTGCATGACAGGTCATTTACGATTCACTTGGTCTGTTAGAGGAGAGGGATTTGTCTCTCTCTGTCGTTGGCACCAGCTTTAACAATATCGGCACCTTACAACACTTCTGATTCTCAAAGATCACTGTCCATGTTCAATTCTTAAGGCACAGGGATGAGAAGAATACCAACGTTCCTGTAAAAAGTAACAAATTCAATGATTGAAGAGTAACAAGGCTAGAATCTTCATGAACAAAAAAATGATTCTGACGGGCCAAGAAATTCTGCACATTGCAGAATATGCCCGCTTTTCAAAAATAACAATTTTAGAGCCGCCCAGTGACTTCTATCCTAAGAATCAGCCTCATTGGTTTCACCTGACCGAATCAATTAGCCGGCGGTTCCATTAGCATGCTGGGAACACTGCTCTGAGGTCCCGCAACCCGGGCTGTGCAGTCGCCGGTTCATAGCCACTACCAGGCTTCATGACGCCTGACAGGCAGGAGCTGTCTCCTGTCTCCGTCCCGTCTCTTCTGGTAGAAGTACAGCCACACAGGCCGCCAGGACCTCCGTCAGATTCCACATAAAACTGCGGTGCCGCTTGCAGGGGCAGGAGAACCCACAGCGCAGCTCAGCTCTCCTCTGACATGACTTTGTTCTGCCGGAAGGTAAAAAGCGATACAGATGTATCCCCGATCTGAATACAGACTTCTTCCAGGGACTTTGAGGATCCAAGTACAGCCCTGGTCAACCCCTTGTGCTCCCATACACGTCAAGACAAGCACAGAGCGTACATTGACCCCAGAAGGTGAAGGGGCACGCGTGGTACAGGAATTTCAGCATCAGATCACGAATCCGTAATGTAATCCACTCCAGCTGCCAGAGAAGACCACGGGTTTCTTCTTTTACCTGCCTGGTTTCTTACAATAAGGGAATCGAACTCCGATCCTGTAGGTTCACGGTGATTGATTAGCCACCGCCAGTGTGTTGGCAGCTATCTACAGAGCCATGTCAGCAATAGGGTCTCTAATTACAGGTGCATCTAGTGTTCTGTGGGAAGGAGCACAGTGACGCTGAGACAGGTTTCCTTTTCTCTACCGGATTCATCAGATATTGACGTGCCTCTTGGCTTTGAACACTAGCACATCACAATATTTGTGATAGTCTGCAGTCTTTCCCGGAAAGTCACGATCCCGGCCCCAGCTCTGGTGATGCTGCGGAGTTCATCCAGCCGGATTCCGAGTTGGAACAGGGCACCCCTGTGCCATCCCTGGAAAAGCAGGCACAAGAGCCTTGGGTACAGGGGTGAGCACTGATTGGAGAGGAGGGGGGGGGGGCATTCTTTTGTCGCACAGTGTTTGGAGCCTTTCTGCGGTGCCAGACTTCCCCTCTGCCTCAGGTCTGGGGCGTCTATGAGAAATATCCATGCGAGCACATGAAAGTGTGAGGGGGCCGGGATAATGTTTGAGGCCTGTAACCACTCTGCTGGTTCTCCCGTCTGCCGGGTGCTGGCTAGGTAGTATGGATATATGTCTCATATAGCTATAGCTCTAAATCTATACTCTAATTAGGGGTTCTAATTAATAAGGAGGACACCTGTGTCAGCCGGTTCATGCTCTTGCTTCATCACTGACCCATCCAGCAATTTTCTAAACAGCTTCTTCCAATTCAGGGTTGCAGGGGAGCTGGAGTCTATCCCAGCAAGCAGTGAGCACAAGGCAGGCTACACCTTGGATGGGACACCAGTCCAGTGCTGGGCAGTCAGACACAGACATGCTCACCCTCACACCAGAGCCAATGACTGGTCAGCTTTTAAGTCTTTTTCTGTGCTCAGACCCTGGTTTCCAAAATTCCTCTGTTGAAGAGCAGTATTTCCATCCCCTTCAGCACAAAGGACTTGAAGCAGTCTGTCCTCAACTTGCTAAATAAGAATGTGCTCTCTTATATCAAGCTAAAGCTGGCCAGGAGAGTGTCATGCTCCCCTGTGACCCTGGACGGATGTCTGGATAAAGACGAAGAAACAGGTTGGAGTGACACTGTATCAGACACGCCCGCTTTGGAAATGTCACCATCAGATGCCCACAGTGGGCGTGGCGCCGAATCAGTCACATCCATGGTAGGAGTGATGTCATATCAGACACACCCAGGGTGGGCGTGGCATTATATCGGACACACCCAGGGTGGGCGTGGCATTATATCGGACACATCCAGGGTGGGCGTGGCATCCTATCGGGCACACCCACACAGCATCAGTGTCCTTCCTTACGCTTAATTCCAATCGCTCAGGCTTCATCTCGAGCACGTGACCAAGGGCAGCCTTGAAAGTCGCCAACTAGCACACTTAGCTGAAAGAAGATAAAAAAAAAAAAGACCTCAGGCCGAAAATTAGCCTGTGATGCAGATCTTGGGTGGAGCAAAAACCCAGACACAGGGGGTTCCCCATGGTCCCAGAGCACACAACTCTGGCTCATCCAGGCATCCTGTTGGTGCAGGAGTGTAACGCAGGGATCGTCGTGACGGAGGGAAAACCCACACAGCGTCACGGGTGTCTCCAGATCTGCGTCCAGTCTTACCCCCAGCGATCCTGTTTTTTAGAAAATGATCCCTCACCTCCTCACATAATGACTTGAGCTTCTCTGTCCAGGAGAAGAGCCCAGATCTGTCCATCGTTGTGTTTCAGTATTATGAGTTTCCATCAGTATCATCCACTCTCAAGGCACGTGTGTGTGTGTGTGTGTGTGTCTGAGCGTGTGTGTCGGGGGGAAGAGGGTGGGGCTGGGGGGGGGAAGAGAAGGATTTGTTGTGACAAAAGACAGTGGACAATGCAAAACAGAGGGAAGGAATGGAAAAAATAAAGAAAAGGCTGAAGTAAACCATTATTAACTGATGATTCTAATAATTCTCATTTCAAAATAAGACGTTATGTTACAAACTGAATGCTCGCAAACTCTTGTCGAAACTGAATTGGAATTTGTGTCTTGTAATTACTGTAAATACTTCCAAAAACAGATTTGCATGTCAGTGTATGGACCTATTGAAAAAAAAAGGTCACGTTCCCGTCAAAGTCTCAAAGTCGGCCGACGTGCAGGACTAAACCAGCGCCCCAGCAGAACCAGATGCTGCAGAAAAGCCCATGAGCCAGGTTTGCTACTACGGGATGCAATTCCATCTGGGTCGAACTCCAAAGTGCTTCCCAGCTAGCCTCCCCACGCGCAGGGACCCCCGAGTTCCTAACAGCGGTCTTCCCCGACGCCTCTCCCATTCATTCCCAGCTTTCATCCCGGACCCCCCCCTCTCCCTGCCTGTGGCCATCCCTCAGGCTGCTGCCCCCAGGAACTTTATCCCAACCCCCCTCCCCCTTCCGCTGGGTTTCCAAAGAGCAGGCTCGTCTGGAAAGACAATTCCCGGTCCCTCTCGAGACCCTGTCCCTTTCTAGATCAGCGCCACCAACGTCTGGTAATGCTTTATTATACGTGTGAACTAGAAGGTCAGTATTAGCTCTTCTACTGAGCATACCAGCACTTAACACATCACGGGTTGCAAACGTGTGCAACTCTCATCAGTGAAGGTATTTTGTAAGTAATACACGCCCACTCTATTTTACTTTATTAATAATATTTATGAGGAGGCATACTTTAGGCAGTTACAAATCATAAAGAGACTTTTTTGTGTGTGTGTGTGTTGTGCCCACTAATAAGAGCTAATAAGTGCCTAACCACACCCACCTAAAATAAAGTGTTACCTGACGTCGAACATACCTCACTTGGGAAGCACGTTTCGCTCTGCTCTGGGCTGTCGATCTCCCTGCCTCGGCCTGGGCCCGTCTGTCACGGCCGGCCTCCCCCCCCCGCTGTCGCTTGCTCGTTAGAACCAGCCCCCCCCTGCCCCGCCACCCCCGCGTCGCCCCGCGTCCGAGCGTGAAAGCGCTGCTACACCAGCCCCTTGCTGCAGCAGCAGACTGGTCATCAGCACCCCGGGCAGCTCCACGCTCACTCCCCGACACGGGGGAGGGTGGGGGAAATGCGGAAGAATACAGAGAAAAAAACAAAACGAGACTCTGCGACTTTGACGGGAACCGAACAGCGAACTCGTGTCCCGTTTTTCTTTTCCGTTTCCGTGTGTGTGCGTGTGCGCGTACTGTATTGTAACTCTCTCTCTGTCCCTCTCTCTCGCGTACTGCTGTTCCCCCTGTTCTGTTTAGTTAGTGTGACGTGCCAGTATTTTCCCCCCTCTCTCCTTCCTTCTTTCCCTCAATCTATAAGATGACAACTCTATGCAGATGCTGTCTTTTTTAAGTGTGTGAAATAAAAAAAAAAACGAATAAAGAGATAAAGGATTGTTCAGTGTATCTCGCTGTGGTCGGCTGTTTTTCCACTTTGTCTTTCGGTCTTTTTGAAATGCACTGTAGAGTCACCCCTTTTACCCCAATACAGGTGTGGTGTTCAGACACAGACACAAATATGGCAAAATGGAACTGTAAAGGAACAAGCAGACAGGTGTCAAAGAAGGCTCCACAGCCAAAACGTTTATTTTCTTCTCTTTTCTGCCTGGAATAAACCTTGACTTGTTCCTGTGCATGCGGACGCGGCTCACTGCTTCAACTAGCATGGAACTGCGACACACTGAGAATGAGCAACAGCCCTATCTGTCGTACCAGCAGTGAAACACTCAACCTCTCGCATCCATCCATTTGCAAACCGCTTCTTCCAATTCAGGGTTGTGGAGGAGTCTATCCCAGCCAGAAACAGGCCCAATAAAAATAATAATGTTGCTTTATTAGCCCTATACAATTTCTCGCATTAGGAATTCATCTTTTCGCAGACCCCAGCTTGCTCTCCATGAGACACACAGACAGGGAGAGAAGCTGGGGGTCAGAGCGCAGGTTCAGCCATTTATACAGCACCCCTGGAGCAGCTGGGGTGAAGGGCCTTGCTCAGGGGGCCAACAGAGTAGGATTCCCCTGCCGGCTGCAGGATTTGAACCGGCAACCTTCCAGCCACAGTCACAGATCCTGAGCCACAGAGCCATCGCTCCTCCCCTACTTTAACTAGTAGGGGGCGGAGCGCCTAATAGTTAACTACTTTAACAAGGTGGGATACACCTGTGGACAGAAAGCCAGCACACTGCAGGGCACATACACACAGACTCTCTCACACCAGGTTTTCCCAAATTAAAGGGGAACCGCAGTCCCAGTTTCTCAGACCAGTTAATTAAATCTCAGAAACGAAAGAAATTCATTGACGTTAAAGAAAAATGAATTTACCCGTTCCGAATTAAGCTCGGAATCATAAAGTTTGTGAAAGTACTGTAAGTCAACATGTTATTGCAAACTTGCATCCGAGTCCCCAGGAATTATGACGTGATGTGGCCCTTCCTGGTCACTAGTCACAACGGTGACTTATGTCATGCATGCAGAGTTAACGAGCAAGTAGTATTTGTAGGCAAAACAGTCCCAAAGTGGAGAGTAATATTTCTATCGGATTAAAAGAGTTCTATTCACAAGCCTGCTTGATTACAGTGTCATAGGGCCACACACATCACCGGAAACTGTGTTACTGTGCTCTGAAATGGAGAATCTGACGCTGCACATACCTGGAAATGTTGTCTATTTGGCGATGTAAAACCTTAACGGCGATTCTTTTTCACCCCAGAGTCTAAAAGTAGCGCTCCAGTTCCCCTTTAACCTACTGTGGGAGGAATCCAGAGGCAACCCACACCAACCTGGAGAGAACATCCAAACTCCACACAGACAGCACCCCAGCTCCGGAACTGAACCCAGGGTCGCTGCGC